CTGAGAGGGGCAGGGCCCAGTGTGGCCACATCCCCCACTGTTCTAGAGAAGCCAGGAATCCAAATTTTCCATAGTTTCTCCATTCCTACAGCTTGACAAGTGATTTTTTTTCTTTGAAAATTTTAAAACATTGGTGGTAAGATTAAACCTCTGGCCTAAACTTATCAGGACCAGTTGTGAAATGGTACCCAAAAAAGACCCTACTCTGCTCAGAGCCCTGTGCCTCAGAAAAAGAGCACCATTTAATTTAGAAACTAGATAGGATCTGACGCTGCAGCAGAGCCTTACACAAACTTATCTTGGACACACTTTGCTAGCTCTGAGTTCTGTCATACAAAGGTGAATGGGAAAGGCCAGAAGCTGAAAATCTACGGAGAATGCTCAAAAAGATTTAAATGTGTTCCAAAAAAAATGGGTAAATTCAATCATGTAACAGTTGCCCAGGACATGGGGGCTCAAAGTTTACAGATTCAGGTTCAGGAGAAGATGAAGGGATGAATCAGCTGCCCTTCGTCACCACCCCACTTCCGCAGCCCTTGTCACCAGTGAGCACCCTGAGATACTTTCAAACATACCATTTAAGATGAATTTGGCAGAAGATACAAAGACAAGGAAACTCTAAAAACAGATTTCTCTGTGTCAGGGTTTTATGAAAAGCATCAAGCCTCAGACCCCTCAATTCAATGCTGCTCCAAACTCCCAATCCAAATTTAAATCAGTTCATTCTCTCCTCTTTCTCTCTCTCCCTCCTTTCCTCCCTCCCTCCCTCCCTCCCTCCCTCCCCCCTCTCTATCCTCTCTCCTCTCTCTCCTTACCTAAATATTTCTTAATTGAACAGTTTGTGGTGGAGCTTCCTTATAGCAGTTTAATAGATTAACTCATCTGAGCCAGCCTCAAATTTCAGATTAAAATTCCTTCATCCCGAAGGCAGCATTATCAGGTTGTTGGAGGCTGTTTTCAAACCTTGGTTTTGAATAGCAGCGGCTCTGCATTAATTTAACCACTAAGCTAATAAGTAGGTTTCGTTTTGTTATGCTAAGCTTTATTGCTTTTCTTTTGATCAGAATGGTGTTGTTGAGCAAAGCAGCAGACAAGGCATTCTTTGATGAGGGAATTAGCGCTCCATTCTTCCTCTATTATTCATAGCGCAGTGGAATATGTAAGTACCTGAGGGTGTCAAAGGAGCGCAGGTTCTATTGCAAAGTGCTCGCCTTGTTTCTCTCAATAGCTGACTATGAGATGATAAACCGCTTAATACACTGTGCTAATTGGATGAGGGCAAAAAGAGATGGGAATTAAGGCGAGGCAAAAGGAGAAAGTGCAACCAGCCTTCAATTCACTCTTTCACCACTTTAACAGCACCAAAGGAGGCACAAGCTTTCTATAAGCAGACTAGAGGTTTTGTGCAGAGATAAAATGAACGTGTTAGTGGATTCAAGTAATACACTAATTATTGCACAGTATAAATACCACTACTGGTTTTATAACAGGGAGGTAAACTTCTTTTGAGAGGGTTATAGGATTGCTTGGCAGTGGTGTAGAACCTAATAAGGGCCCAGAGTAATAACCCCCTGGATTAACAAAATTGCTGCTTGTAGAAGTATGATTCAGGCTTTTACGAAGATTTCCGGAGAATGAATAAAAATGACTGAATGACATTTCTTAATGTATAACTGGTAATCGCTCCCTTTTCTTTAAAGGAAAAAATGTATACTTCAAACTGGACCGTTAATAACGTCCAGGGACAACACGACTTTTTCCTTTGAAAAATGCTTTTTCCCCTTCAGGTAGCTGGTTTTCTTCTCCCCGCCCCCCAGCCAGGCTACCACTGTCAGTTAAATATGCAGTTGCTCTGGGGAACTCTGTGTTCCAAAATACCATTTTAGGCTCCATTTAAGACCCCCTTCATTGAGACACACTCACTTTTGTGTATACACATACACACATGCTCACATACACATTTTTCCTCTGAAAGCAAGTTGGGCTAAACCATGTATAATTTCCTCTCCTCTAACATCAGCCCCTTTTTCCATTCTAGTAATATCTCCGCATTCTAAACCATGCTAAGCAGAGCTACTAGTGCTTTGAGTCTTGGTATTATAAACAAAAAATAACAACAAATGTTGGCCCCCAACTGGAAGGGGTTAATATGAGAGGGGAAGGAAACTGAGTAGAGCCAGGGAGAGTAACTTTAGTTTAACACTGAGTTTCTCTCCCCCAATCTGTCTCCCTCATTCATCCTCTTCCCGCCCTCATCACCACACAGAAAAGATATCTGCCTTCATTGCTGCCCACAGTCCAGGGCATGGGTAGTTGGTGACAGAACATTTCTAATGGTATTAGGACAGATGTTCCCATCTTGCCTTTCCAGTTTCCTCTAGATCTGGACGGCTGTCTGAAAATGTAACAAATCAACTCTTCTCTCAAACTTCAACCACTGAGGCCGAGCTCCCAATCACCTCTAACCCTGAGATTCTGTGGGGTGGCCTTGGGAAAGCAGGTGTTGGGCTATTCTCTACTGAGTGTGATCGTGTGATTGGAGACAGTCCTGCCATAAACTAGAGACTGCGGAACTCTCTGGGCCTCCACCTTGGTTGAGGAGGTTTGCTTAAGGTTGGGGGTGGGGGTCAGCCTCTTCTAGTATTGTGACTGAGTTCCCAGATATTGGGGCCAAATTGGGTTGCCATTCATTAATAATGCTCACAATAAGATTAAATCATTCTGGAAAATCTCATAAAATCCCCCTAAGTACGCTCCAGTGGCTCTTTCCAATCCCCATCATTCAGCACTTGGGGAGGTTTGGAAGGAGAAGAAAATTGGTTTCTTTGCTTTTAATGCTGCTTTGAAAAGATACTCAGAGTTTGTCATGCGTGACATGTCACATGTTTAATGTGGACTTGCTGGAAGTCAGGGGGTCTTTAGCGTGCGATATTTATGGGGAATATTAAGTGCAGAATGAGGTCCCTCCAGCTGGGGAAAGTTGAAAGAATAGGAGGCCCAGGCCCAGGCTTGTTTGCAGCATCAGAATGACATAGGATTAAGAGTTTGTAAAACAAGGCGAGGGGTTCTCATTGGTCAGTAATAAATGTAATCCTTGGAGGTAATTTCACGCAATTTGCTTCTGCTCCATGGAAGGGTCAAATGAGAAAAAATGACTTAGAAAAGAGTTCATTAACAGGAAGAATGGTACTGTTTCTCATATAGCATCCAACTGGCAGCCTGGAGAGGCGAAAAGAAGTCCTACTAAAGAAAAAGCTAAAATCGACAGAAAAGTGATATTGACCACAAATAAATAAATAATAAATAAATAAATCCTTTCCTCGTGCTTCTCTTGCACTCTGCTGTCCCCTCCTCAGGCTCCACAGCCACCCTGTCCACTCCAGGAAACTGGCTGTCTCTCTAGAACAGCCTGTGGAGTCTAAGGGTTTGTGACTCTCTAGGCCTGCCCAGAAAGTTCCCATCTGACCCTTAGTAAACCTGGAAAAGGGCTGTCTGATGGGAATGGTAGTTGATGGCCGCTTCCCATGCCCTAGTCCGGGCCCCTGTCTGGGAGAGCCAGTTTGGCAAGTCGAAACCCCGCCAAGGTGACTGTAACCCACCCGAAGGGGCAAAAATCCAAGAAGCAGTTGTGACTGGAGACCCTCATGGGTACGATCCCCAGATCCCCTAGATATGCCTCAGGCTGGAGCTGGGGACCGCTGGACCGGTCGGCACCGTGCTGACAGTGAGAGGGCCAGAGCATAGCAGGTGTCCCAGGGCAGCCCCTCTTCCCTGATCCCCCGACGCGTGCAGTGCCAGGATGCCCGTTCTCCCTCGCTGGGGAGCCTGCACCAAAGCCGAGACGCACTTGTGGCCCAGGCCTCCAGGGGACCCAGCTCTCCACCTCCTTCTGGTTGGGTGCTCGCAACCCGTCTGGCCCCCCGAGACGTGCCCGCGTCCCCCGCGGCGACCGACGGCCCGACGGCATGGCTGGGCGGCTGGTCCCGGCTCGGCGAGCTGTGGGAGTCACGCCGCGCAGACCCCACCCCCACCCCCCGCCTGCCCCCCTCCCCAAAGGTCCGGCGCGCTAATTACTGCAAATTGAAACTAATTAAGCTTCTCTTCCCTTTCCCATCACCCTGGGAGCGTTGGTGAGACCCAGCCCCCGCGGGCAGGCTTCCACGGAACGGTCACCCGAAGGGGCACCGGTAGGGCCCAGGGGAGGGGGAAGCGTCGCACCCCGCGGAGGGAGGGGTGCGCTCAGGGGTGAATGATGACAAAATCTGTTTGGGTCTCATTGCGAAACCTGAGTTGTTTGGATTTTTTTAAATGTATACATTTCCCAATGCCTCGGTAAGTGATGTAATGACATTTGTCGAGTTAAGATCTGCCACTCGTGTACCCCTCGCTGCCTTTCCATATCTCTCTCTCTCTCTCTCTCTCTCTCTCTCTCTCTCTCTCTCTC